ATATTTAGCTTGTTAAAATATTTAGTTTATAAACTATGACATTTATAAATGTATGAATCATATGGTGAAAAACTGACTTTGAAAAATAAATCTGTTTGTTTTTTCTTATAAAAGACTAAATAAAACAAAAAATGGTGGTAATTTTTTGTGTAACTTTACAAACGGCACCCTATACTTAATTTGTAAGTTAAATATTTAGTTTATAAACGATGACATTTATAAATGTATGAATCATATGGTGAAAAACTGACTTTGAAACATAAATCTGTTTGTTTTTTCTTATAAAAGGCTAAACAAAACAAAAGTATTGGTGGTAATTTTTGACTGTGTAACTTTACAAATGGCACCCCACACTGCTCCTTTTTTAATCCCAGTAACTTTAAAGTAGGGTGTAATACACTTTTCAGGCACATAGCTCAATTCTATCCAACAATCAAGTAACTATGTTACCTTCAGTTCTTATGAAAATGTTGTATATATCAAAAATAAATTTGACTTCGCATCATAGCCTATCTATAAAGCAATGCATTCCCCTACTCTCTTATTAATTTGATAAAGCAAGCCTTAAAGTATAAAGGCTGCAAGGTGGAAAGCAATAGGTGCTGCCATTTAAATGAATGGAGGCAGAGGAATGCATTGCCTCTATTCATTTGTAGTGACAAGCCCTGCTAAAGCTAAAAAAAATGAGTCTCTTTTGCATAGTAACCCTCTTTTAAGCAGCAGATCCTAGAAGAGCCCGAGGCTTGACTGTACTGGTCAAAAATTCCTCTTTTCATCTGCTAATCTGCTGAGTTAGGGTTTTTCTTGACAAAAGCCTTATCACCTGTCATCTCTTGTTTTCTAACTTTTCCAGGTTAGAAACTCGTATGACAGCTGACATCAATGTTATTCTACAGCTCCTCCAGAGGCAGAATGCTGCTGTACCCCCCGCCTACAGCACTGTATCATCCAGTGCCCTCCCTATTGATTCAGCTGGTTTATATGAGACTGGGACTCCAGTGCTGCACAGCATGTATCCAATTTCCCCCATACAAGTGGACAACAACATACCCAAACATGTAAGTATCCACACTACAATGGAGTGAAAAAGGGAGTCTAAGCCGATTTTTAATGTCTGACATAAGTCGCACCAATCTCAAAAGCTTTTCTCTTATTATAACTTTTTTTTAACCTCAGACCTTGGACCAGACAAACCTTAAATCTTCCAAAACCTCCCAAGAATCACTGTCCAGCGGCATCCACGTGATCGCAGCGTCCGACGACACAACGTTCATGGCCGTAACCCCTGAAACTGACACTCATCCAGGTTTCACTCCACAGCTGCCGCAGCAGTCAGTCAAGTCGGCCCTTGAGGTCAACACCAGGCTGTATGAGAAGCTGCACTGTCCCTCACTGCCAGCAGACCTGGATCTCACCGCAGAACGGACCAGGATCCAGAAACACGTCTCAGACCCAACGCTACCAGTCACCTGATGACACGTGTGACTATTCAGGCTTGACTCTGAGAGGACCCGTGCAAATTATGTGTTTTATGCAAACAGTCGATATAGACTTTGATAATCTGTAGTGTTAAAAAAAGCTGAGATTGATTCACATTATCAGATATCAGTGTAATTTAAATAGCCTTCCTCCAGAGTATTTACTCAGTTAAACTTTTTATGAACAGCTGATACAGAACAGATTTTTTTTACTGCTTCCTTACAACCTGGGAAATAACCCAAACCCTGACTGAAAATTTACAGATGTGGTTAAAACACTTGTTTTTTTTTCCCCATATAATATTTTTACAATAGTAACAACTAACTAGATCTATGGAAACAAAATCAGTGAACTCTTTGTGTTTTTGAAAGGTGGCGATGCACGTGGACAATAAAAAGATGTTTTGTGCATTAAAATAACACGGTAATAAAATACAAAGATGTTTACTTTAATAAAATATTTAGATATATTTTCACTCTGACTGGGCAGAAGCCCACTGGAAGTTGTTGATCTCTCCCACGGCCAGAAAGGGGTCCTGGATGATCTGCTGCATCTGTCCCAGATTAGAGTTAGACAGATAAAAGTAGGATTGACCAGAACACGGTTTTTTAAATTATTATTTTCTCTGGGAGAAATTGATGTTAAGGAGTTTACATTACAAATAAATTACCTTCTGAATAATATTCTTTTATTTCACAATTTGTAAAAGATAAAAGTAAGGTTCAGAGTTTTTGGCAATAAAGTGCTTCCTCTTCTGCTCACTTGCAGTTACTGCAACTTGCAACTATGTTCAAACTTTGCTCCAGACACCATTGTTTTGCAAATCTATAGTGATAAACTAAAAATTTGAGGTGATGCAAGTGCTTTGAAGGTACAATCAGCAGATTGAGTTGCCAAATGTTTTCTGCTACTAAGAACTTTGTACACTAGAGACTCATTGGAGAACAGTAGTTTTTTTTTCTCTCTGGGATTGTGGAGATGCTAAAGGACTCGCCTGTTTGTGTTGGAAAACTATGAAGATGTATAACATCAATAGGCATTATTTTAGAAGACATGGTGAGCATTTAACTCAGAGGAGACTAAAGTCATTCAGTTCTTTTTGCCTTACATTTACTTAATAATCCTACATTCAGTGTAATAAAACATAACATAATGATGATTCAGTTGGAGGAGAAGACACAAAAACTTCCACATTAATGATAATTAAATCACAGCTACAAACAGATATCAAATAACCAAACATGAGAGAAAAGATGCAACACAAAGAGCCCTGGAAAACAGAAAGTCCTCCTAAACATATGAAAATGCCAAAATGGAAAAGACAAATGGTGAAAAAAACATCCTGAGGTGTTTGTGATTTGGTTATACCACTAATTTGCTGTAAACACTGGCACGGGTACATTGATGAATTGTTTACGAGGACATTCTGTACTGTGTGTGTGTGCGTGCGTGCGTGCGTGCGTGCGTGCGTGCGTGTGTGTGTGTGTGTGTGTGTGTGTGTGTGTGTGTGTGTGTGTGTGTGTGTTCATTTTCCTAAATATGACTTGCAAAACTGCATCGACTGTAAGTCCTGCCTTTGATGGATGTATCAGTTCCATCATTTGCTGCTATTTCTTTGGTATGTTTGACATTTTTGTCAAGCCAAGAGTAAGACCATAAAAGGTATTGTCTTTTTTTTGTTTTGTTTTGTTTTAGTTTTTGTGTTCACCTGCAGCTTTTTGGTTTTTATGTCTGAGTGTATGATTTGAACCTGGACCTGTTTGCAGGACTTTTACCATCAGAGCGTCTTGAGATGCATCTCCATCAGAAGCATTTGTTGGGAAACTCTTCCCCGCCTGGGTTTGTCTGGGAGCAGTTTGACTTCGACATCTGCGTCCAAAACGAGAATGGAAGATACACCTGGGCCTCTTTTTCACTGCTGTGCTTTTCGCTTGGCTTTCCTGCCACCCTGCTGATCCTCTGGGAGATGATGAAGATGCGCAGGAGAGGCGGCTCCTTCACGTCCAACGACCTCTTCATTGTGAACCTCACCATCATGGACGTGCTCTTCTTGGCCTTCCTGCCACCTGGTTTATTCAACCACTTTTTTCTGAAGATCTGGGCGATTGAAGCGTTTTGGAACCTTCTTTATGCCTTGAACACGTGTGGGAGGCCCTTACTGATGGCCTGCGTCTGTTTCGACTGCTACCTGGCTGTGGTTCATCCAATCTTTTACCATCAGAACAAAAGTCTGACCTCCAGGGTTGTGGCGGCTGGTACTGTTTGGTCCCTGACTGCTGCTAATGGAGTCGTGTTTCTCCTTTTCTACAGGCTGTACTTCAGCTTCCTTCCTGCTGTGACCTTTCTGATTTCAATTGTAATGATCGGCTTCTGTGATGGTGTAATAGTTTATACGTTGGTAAAGTCGGACCCCGTGGGAAAACAAATTCACCCCCAGAAGCAAAGAGCCATTCAGACCCTCATCTACAGCCTGGCCATGACCGCCGTCTCCTACCTCCCTCCAGTCATTTTCCTTTTAGTCGGGAGGGCTCTCACTGGCAGCTTCAACCTGTTCGTCTGCACTATTGCTCTTCCCATCAGCATCACTTCCACTTTAGGCTCGACAATCATGCCTCTGCTTTACTTATATAATGTTGGCAAACTCAGCTGTGTCAGGCTTGGATGCTGCAAACATTAATTTATCCAACTTCTCTAGATTCTTAGATATGTTATGCTTTTGTTTTGTAATTTTGTGTGGAAACCAAGCTTAAGAAAACAGTTTTCCTATGAACCCTTTGAGGTCCACACCAAGAAAAACTCTATGAAAAAAATTTGTTTGTATTTCTTATTTCCTTAGGTGGCTAATAACAACAATCAATGATTTTTTTATAACATACCCTTTGACCTCTAGCAAACGGTTGAGGTGTCCGTTAATGTTTAAAGTACAAAACTGCAAAGAAATGGCACAAATATTAGAAAATGTGACAAAAACATGCTCTTTTGCAAGTAAAAAGAGAAAAAATGTATACAGATCCATAAAGATATTTGATCTTTAGTAGTGTGCCACAAAACGTTGTGTCTTTTCATTTTAACAAAGTAAATTTCGGAATCAAACAAATCTATAAAGTTTCAGGTTGATTGCATCTGTAAAAAAGTGCAACAGCACAAAATTCAGTTGACCTCTGATTGAGTGCTCCTGTTAATAACTAATTTTTGTAATAAAAAACTAAAAAGGTAGTACAGAACAAAGAAAACATTATATTTCTTACTTCCAAATTTCAATAAACCTAATTTGTGGTGGAGCAATACTCATATTTTTGAAGAGTAAGATCCACATTTCATGTGAATTGATTGAACCAGTGGTGCTGGTTTTTGCTTGCTAAAATTCCAAACATGGTAAAACAGTGGGAAACATTTTAAATTTAGTTTCCAATTCAACACACCTCAGTGGTATGATTGTGTAATTGCACGACTCCTTTTTGAGGATTGGATATTGATTTATGGTGATATGCTATAATGCATTTCTAGTGTATTGAAACACAAGAAAACAATGTTTGTCTGAAATTTCCATCTTTATACACCCTTGGGGCATAGGTTGTATTATATTTAATTGTCACAATAGGCCAGTGTCCTAAAATACAAAAAATATCCACTGGTTGTGGTTTTGGTCAGGAGGGTCTTGGGGGGCATCATTTCATCTGTCAGAGGGAAGAAGTGAATTTGCAATGCACAGATCCAGATGTGATCTCCTGGAGTTAGCTAGGGTCTTGTACAGGTGCACCAGCGTATCTGAAACAGCAGTAACTTTAATATGCTCATTGTAAGCAGGGATAAGTGATGTCCATGCAATCTTTATACAAGACTCAGTGATCCACCAGTTGACAATTGACAGGCATTGCTCAGAGGGTTGACATATTTGTCATTCAACTATTTTATTGCAATTAGCCCTTCAACAGACCTGTTAGGCTCCATGACCCTTTTTTTCATTAGTTCAAAGTCTGCCATCAAAGGATGTTCACCAGTGTAGTTTCGTCATACAATACCAATGCACTTAACACACAAAGACGTATGCAAGTTCTGGACCAAGATGAAACTTGTAATCACAAAAGACAACAGACCACTAAAGATTTTTTTATGGTTTTGAATAATTTCACCAGTTTAGCTCCAAGAATTAGCCTTTTTTTTTTCTTTTTTTCAATTCACTGAGGGAACATTGATGCATGTGGATACCTGTTTGGACAGTGGTAAATCATATTAAAAATTCCAGATGGATTTTCTTGACAAAATATAGTGATATACTGTAAGTACACCAGCTTGTGTTATTTCATTAGGGTTATTGGCTATATTATGATTTCTACGTTTTTTTCTGGATTTTACTCATAGTAACTAAGATCAACTTATAAATCAAAGAGTAAAGTGTAAAGAGTATGAAAACACATTCAGCATATTCACAATAAACTAACACTTAATGAGTTATATTCAAATAAATAAATAAAATAAAGGGTTTGAATAAGTTTATTTTATGGGAAGTAATCATATTTAATTAGACTGGTTTAATTTTTTACCTATACCATGAATGGACAAATCAACCGTTTACAGCACATTTTCAAAAAATTATTTATATGTTTAGAAGTTTTGAGCTGCATCAAAGTTCATAATTCTGTTTATTAAGGCATTTATTACCAAAATATGTAAAAAAAAAAAAAAAAAAAAAAAAAAAGAATAAATTTCTTTAAAAGTTTTTTTTCAAAAACTGTCCTAACGTCATTCTTTACTTCCTGGTTGGAGGAGGGAAAGACGAACTAACCATTTACTGTCACAGTGCCTTCTGGTGGATGTTTTTAGCATTACACACTTCAACCAAATGGTAGAGATGGTTCTATCAGTTTCACTTACTCCTTTTTTTGAATTTTATCAGCTCAAAATACTTAATTAAGTAATGTGATTTGTTAATGATAGGTATGCATGATTTCTATGTAACTGAACATTATTTAAAACATGTGTTGATGTCTGTTTTTTTCTCCAAGGTAAAACTCAAATAAATATGATGCTAGGGATGAGGCTCAGTTACTACCACACTAAATAAAATCGTGTATAGATTTACACAGGCTCTTTAAAGGTACAATAAACACTTGATCGAAAAAAAAGTTGATGCCAGACGGATCAGCTTTCAGGAAAGTTTCACTCACACAAGTGGGCAGCTGGTACAACAAACCTTATTTACATGCCACAAAAACAAAGATGGTTGTAGATTCAGTGGTGTGTAATGGGAACATGTAGTACTTTTAGTACCTACCAGTTTGAAGACAACCTCATTCAATAAACAGTAAATGAAACATTGCTTCAAAAAAAAAAGGTTTTATTTGTTATTTATTTATTTTCACTCACAAAAAAGAAAAAAAATCTTTAAAACATAAGAAAATACAAAGATAAAAAAAACTGTGCAGCAGAGGTAAAAAACCCAAACGGGTTTACAAAGCAACACCTCCCCACTTAAAAATAAATAAAATTTAATTTAAAAAAGTAAAAAATAACCAATTAAATACAAAACATCATTATACATCTTTACCTGAACAGAAACAGTATTAAATCACACAGTTCAAAAATCAAAATTTAAAAAAAATGGACCCTCCACACTTCAGAACATCTCAGTGTGACAAAAAAAAAAAGATTCAAATGGTGAAGAAAAACACATTAGAGGAGCAATAATTAAAAGGTGCAACTTTTTAAAAATTAAATCGGCTGTAAATTCATCACGGCCTGCAGAAAAGTTTTTTAGATTCTTGATAATATCAAGACATATTGAAAGATGTCTCCCAACATCATCCAACGCGTTAGTAAAAATATTGTCAATGTAGAAGATTGAGTTGTTATTCTCGTGGGTTTTCAAATATGGGGGATAAAATAATTTGAAGACAATCTATTAGTAAAGTCATCTGTATGCTGTGTATTTATAAATTGATATTGAAATCTAATAAATAACCAATTTTACCTTCTTCATCGATATTAATCTGTCAATTACCAAAACATCTGAAAGACATTCTTTGAAGTTATCAATATTTGTTTTTGGAGGATGAGATATGCATCCTACAATCAGTTTCCTTTTTCCAAATTGCACTTCAAGAAAAATATGTTCAGTGTTACATCCATAAAACTTCATTTGAAGATGATCTCTCTGTTTGGATTCATGGTCTATTTGAACATAAAGAGAAACTCCTCCTCTACTTCCTCTGCATGAACTGCTGTACAACCATCAAATTTAAATACTGAATTAATTTCATCATTTAGCCAAGTTTCAGTTAACGCAGTTATTGTAAAAATATGATTTAAAGTTGATAAATAATTATTTATTATTATAAAACTATTTATCATAGTTTTATGAAAGACTTCTTATATTTAAATGAAAAAAATATTGGAATTTTTACAAGATGAAATGAAAAAATTAAACTGTTTTTCAGAAAAATAATGTAGTAGGATCATAAACTGATACTAACACACAGGACAAGAAACAGTTTAAGTATATTGTGATACAAATAATACATCAGGATGGAAACAGGTATTGCAGTAGTACAAACCTTATCATTCTGTGTCTCAGAAGAGTGAAAAACCAAATTGTTATTAGAAACTAAATTTGGATGATCACTATTTAAGATAGATTACTCATTGTGTTTTGAATAAAAAAAAAACATGCTCAACCATTAGTAGAAAACAAAAACGATGACAGGATCACGGATTCACAAACAACAGATGACTGATCAACCTCCACATTAGATCCTGTGTTCTGCTCACTCATACCAGAGCCCTGGTTGTGGATGTTCTGAGGCTCCGTACTCCTGGCTCTGGCCCGGTTTACAGTTCTGGACCGGTCTCGTCAGAACCACATTTTAAAACTGTAATAAGAAATGAAGTTTTATGATGAAAAATAATTTGAACCTCATAAAGAAAAACAGCTAAAGATTGATGAGAACTCACTTTAGTGTTTGCTTCCATCACTACGGTTTGAGTTCGGATACTTAGTTTTAGTTTCTTCAGTAAAATCATTCAGCACTCAACATTTAATTTGCAATATTCTGTTCACCTGGTTTGGATTTCCATTTGTGGTTGATTGCACAAACACAGTTTAAATGTGTCATTGTGAGGCTCAATGTTTTTCAAAGTTTATACAAACCCATATTTATAGTGTTTATGGTTATGGTGAGAGGGGATGGATAAAAAACTCAAAGACACTGAGCATTATTGAAACCTTTGTGTCCCTCATATGGAGGACACAATGTTAGAAACACTCAGTGTTCTGAGCTGCAGCTCCAAGAATTTTTTTCCATTGACTGCTCAGATCCAGGCAGTGGTCTAAGTAGTGCAAATAGGTCTCTAATTCAATGCCAGGTTGTGCCCAGTTAAGACACCCACCAGTGTACTTACAGCTTTCCATATTTCCTAACCCTTACCACATGACCTGTTCACATGTTCCCCCATGTTTGTCATCTGTGTCTCTTGAACGGGTGTTCTTAAATGTAATTTCATTGTGCTCTGTACAATGACAATAAAAGCATCATCAATTATCATTTTCCTAAGAACATTCAATAAAAAACAGCTTAAATTCAACTACAGGAAGCTGAAAATTAAACATTTGGTGCACAGTGTTCCACCCTCCACCACTGGGTGACAGTAGCAGTTTGTTGTGAAATTAAAAAGAAACCAACATTATATAATTCAAGTTATACAATAAAGTGTTTGCATAAAGGAGCTTAATCTTTTTCTCGAATTATTTGAAACTTACATTTAGATTTTTTTTCAAATGAAGTCAGTTTTTTTCACACAATTTTGTTAAACTTATCTGATAGAAACGTTTTTAATCTTCTGTTAGAATGAATTTATTGTTTGCGGTGTTAACGAAAATTAATTTTTGTGAAACATTTCTCCCATTTTCCATATTAGTAAATCAATTACTATCAATATGTTCCATATCAACAACCACATTGAATTTATTTATTTACATTGGAAACATTTACAAAATGAAACTTACTGCACATAAAAAAAAAAAAGAACGGCTGCACGTAGAAACTCCCACAGGTTGTTATTTAAACCCTGACAATCATAAAAACTGCAAAAGGATATATATATATATATATATATACACACACTCAAAAAATTAAAAAGTAATTTTCTTCAGAAAATACCTCTTTATGTTACAAAACCTTCTGCATGTTTTTTTCTTCCTTTAGCTGCTTTTTGTCTTTTAAGCAGACCAACTTTCAGGTGATACAATGTTCTGTCACACTTTTATAGAGGATTAATCAGTGCATTAAAGGCCTCGTTTTTACCTGGTTCAGGTTTTGTAAAACGACAAATCAAGTCAGTGCGGTTGATGAACAAGAATCTGAGGAGGAGAAGGTTTTTAAGGCAGATAATTCAATAGGGTCACAAATACTATAGATTTATAAAATAAAACCATATACACACCAGTGCATAATTCATGATTGAACATCAACTTTATCGCTTAAACAAGGAGACATCTGTAAACTATGCTTGATTGGTTTTAAATATTCTCCTTAATGCTTTAAAGTATCTACTGTAAGCTTTAACAGAATATTGTACCTAATCAATGATTGTAGGGGGTAAAAAAAAAGGTAGTAATGACTGTAAAAATATTCTGTTTTTTCCACAGACATTTCATATTGTTTGTAAAAGTATGAAACAATGACAAATGTTTCATAGAATAAAAAAAGTGAAGTTTGAATCTGTTAAAATAGAACTCTGACAAGATGTTTAAAAAAATATTAAACGTCAGATCTGGACCGAACCAACCTGGGTTGGGTTATTAGTTATTTTACCCTAAAAATAAAGTTAAAATGACAAATGTGTTCCATTGGAGCTATTAAAATTTTAAACCTAAAACAAGAATCTGTTTCATTAGATAAGGATAGTTTGAAGTAGTTACGATCTGGTGCCAATCTCGGTCCAATTTGGTCAGCAAATGGTGGACCACCATGAACAGAATAATATGGCTCATTTCTGACCAGAACATTGGGTCAAACCAACCCGACCTATGAGCTGACAGCTCTAACCCAGCAACACAGATGGCGATAAAACCAATCAATTTGTAGCATAAAAATGAAATTTCTGGGGGGAAAAATGATTCTGGTGTTTTTTATGCAATCGACACATCAGCACTCTCGCTGGTTTCCTGTCTATCTGTGGACAAATAAAGAGTTTAAAGTTGGTGTTTGAAGCCAGAGAGCTTCAGATTGTCTGGTAAAATTTATAAAAATTACAGTGAGGTACTTTCTCCTGCAGGTCGATTCTCTCACAGTCCTGTGAAACTGTCGGCCTCAGGGTGGGGGGCCACAGAGGACACGGGGGTCAGACAAAGGCTGCATTGAATGGGGTTTGACCTCCTCCTACCAAACACCAGCCAGCCAGCATGAAGAGAAAAAAATAAATATATATAAAAAAAAGAAATCCGCCTTCATAAAATGCTGTTGATTATCAACTGCCAGGGAAACAAGTTGTCACTGAGTGGAATTTGAACCATGCATTGATTATCTGTCTTTGTCTCCTCTGAGTCACATTCAGCTGCGTTGTGCAGCCAGAAAGAGTAAACAGTTCTCACACAATTTATTAAACTAATAGCTTAAAGGGCATTTTGGCAAAAAAAAAAAAAAAAAAGCTTAGGGGGCAGGCAGTATTTTAATATGCAGTGCATTTCACAAGAGTTAGGTTTAGAAATCTGTCATTTTTAAAACCTGATACCTCCTTATACTCCTCAAATACGCCCTAACAACAAAAATGTCAGTTTTTTTTTATTACTAGTAGCTCACAAGTGATTTGTTGTAGCCACTAACAGCCACATACATCAGCGTGACACAAAGCCGCTGTCTTCTCCATACAGGATGTCTTTCTTTCAGGGAGCATGCCTAAAGGCCAGATGGGTCGTAGGGCCTTTTCTGTTGAAAACAAAATGGCTTTGAGGGTGCTGAAGACCCTCAGTGGGTTTGGGAGAAAGTGAGCAGAATACTAAATGTTATTTTCAATGCATATCATGGTACACTTTTATCAAAAGGGTTTTTTTCCCCCCATTTTGCCGAGGGAAACAGCTGCTTCATGTGACTGAAGAGATTAAAAGAACATGAAAGAAACTCGTCAATTCAGTTCTTAGATGGTATGGTTTTTTTCGAACCATCAACCCTTTTTTTTAAAACAAAGACTGGGTACAGTTTTGACACTGAGCAATCACGAATTGTTGGAGTGACAAGAAAACGATCAAGAACATGATGCCGAACCCATCACATTAATGCTACAACGTGTTGAAGAAAACTCCCAACGATCTCATCTCTGGTGCTTCTCTGATCAACATCAATGTCCCCAAACAGACGGAGAACCGTCTCCCCTTTCCACGGTTTTCCTCAGAAGGACGCAGTCTTCATTTCCCCATTTCTTTTTTCCTCAACTGTGTCCAGTCCATGTGTCCACTAGTCCGAGATACTCTGGATTTTCTGCAGTGGGAGTCATAAACCCGTTCACATGCCTGCCYGCTCCGCCCTCGCTCTCCAGAGCTGAAGCCCCGGAGGCAGCTTTGGCCACAAGGTCCAGGTAGTACGGGTTGTCAAAGGCAGAGGAGGTGGAGCCTACAGAGACCAGGTAACCTGGTTTGTCCACACTGTGACCAGAGCTCAGACCATTGGGGAGTCGTCTGTCTGCTTTAGAGCCTTTACGTGGAAGTGTAGTGGGCCGCTCGGGGATTAGCGACCTGGGATCCTGCATCTCCTGGTTAACGTACTCTGAGGGTGGACACAATAAAACCAGAAAACAATCAAAGAGTTGTTTCCTTCTACGTTCTATATCAAACTATATGCCACTCACCTGGCATGGCCTGGTTGTTATTGTGGACGTGACATCGTCTGGGCAAAGAGTGATGAAGGTTCGGACGAGGTAAGTCCTCCATCCCGTCGGTTTTCAGGTCACCCTGGCTCCCGATGGGATACGTGGGGTCTTTGCAGTAGCGCCCAGGGCTGACTGGGGGCTGCGAGGGGCCGTCCGGAACTGCATCCAAGAACACAGAGTCGGACTGTGCTCCCGCTGAGACGCTGCGAGCTAACGTCGGAGGCCACGCCCCGTTGGCGACGCCTGCTCCGTGCGGTACGGAGGGACACTGACCACGACTGAGAGTACTCTGAGAGGAGTGCATGGGCCGAGGGCCAGCAGCGATGGAGGGATCGAGGTCTAAGCCCTGATCTCTGCTCTGCTGGAGGGAAAGAAGAAAATTAGAAACAACGCACAATTCTGACCTGCTGATAAAGTAGAAATTGCTCCCGTGACTCATGTTATCATCCATTAGGCAGATCTCTGCAAAGATATTTGTCTGGGAGAGTTTAGTAACAGAAACAAATGAAGCGTTCTGATTTACTGACCCGGTACGACTGGTGCCTGGACGGCCCATTGGCCTGAGCCTCCTCTCCGCTAGTTCTGGGGAAGAGGTTCGGCTGAGGAACCAGATACTCCTCAGCATCCATTATTTCTCCCATGTTGTCCCCTTCCTCCAGAAGCATCCGGTAAAACCTGCTGTCCACAGGGCTGAACATGCTCATCTGCTCGTCGTCCTGGAAGAAAATAAAAACACACACACACACATTAATGACACCTGAGGTTTATTTACAAGGTCCGTGGTAATACATCAGCACCGATTACACAATTACCTTAATGACTAAATATCGAAATGGATCTCTTGCCATGAGACTAAAATCCTGAACCAGATCTTTGAACTTGGGTCTGCTCTCTGGATCAATCATCCAACCTGCAACACAAATAAAAACTATTATTATACCAAGAATAACAGCAAAAAGAACAAGCAAAAGCAGGAACACATGTATTAAAACAAGTGAATAAATGATCTGGTTAAAATTTGAAACATAAAATAAAAGTCCGTGCTGCTGTACTGACATTTGACCATAATCATGTAGACGTCGATGGTGCAGATTAGAGGTTGGGGAAGCCGCTCTCCTCCTTCCAAAACGCTCGGGATGTCCCTCGCTGGGATTGTGTTGTAGGGCTTGGAGCCAAACGTCATCAACTCCCACACTGTCACCCCTGAGGGAAGTCACACGGGAGCAGAGTTTATTTAATTACTGGAGGCCATTGTTCAACACTGTGCCGACAGACACTGACCATAACTCCACACGTCGCTCTGATGAGTGAACTTCCTGTGCAGGATGGACTCCAGGGCCATCCATTTAATCGGCACCTGGAATAACAGAAACATCGGTTTGAAAAACAAACAGTGCAGCAGGTAGAGCGGTCTTCAACAGAAATAAACTCGTCGTACCTTCCCTCCGTCGGCGTGATACTCGGTCTCATCTATATCTAGCAAACGGGCCAGACCGAAGTCTGTGATCTTCACGTGGTTGAGGTTCTTCACGAGAACGTTACGAGCAGCCAGATCTCTGTGGACCAAACGGATGTCCTCCAAATAACTCATCCCCTACACACAGACACAAACGCAGATTTACAACCTCACAACTCAACACAAACATTACATCACTGCTGTAAAACAAAAGCAGATGTTTGTTGTGTACCTTGGCAATCTGGACACACCAGTTGAGGAGGAAYTGCGAGCAGATACGGTCTTTGTTCTCGCGCACGTAGTCAAGGAGGCAGCCGAAAGGCATCAGCTGAGTGACCAGCTGCACCGTGGAGGTCAGACAGATCCCCAGCAGGCGACACACGTACGGGCTGGTGACCCCCGCCATCACATAGGCCTCCTGGGCAGAGGAACCACAAAGGTGTTCGTTACTGCCGAGTCAGCATTCACATCAATGTTTTCCTGTTTCTCACATTTCCTTGCTTTTTTCCCCCATTCAGGAGACTGGTGCTCTGACTTTTATACTTTTAAAATATTTAAATTTTCTTAAAATACTTACCCTATTTAAACACATTGAGATTTCTTGTGCTTCTTCAAAATCTGCTTCAACATACTTGCTCTTTTTATTTTTGTGCCATTTTTAGTTTTTAGCTATCCTTTTCTTTGCTTTAGCTAGCCTTTTACCACATTCAGCTTTTACCTACATTTCAGCTAGACTTTTTCTCTTTACTTTCCYGCTATTAACTTGGAACTTGCCTTTCAATACCTTTAGCTAGTGTTCAGCTGCTTTTAGTTAGTCTTTTGCTACTATTAGTTTTTTTCTCTACTTTCTTGCTTTTAGCTTTGAACTTGCATTTTAAAATCTTTAGCTACCATTCTGTTTCTTTAGCTCTTAGCTAGCCTTTTACCACATTTAGCCTTTAGCTGCTGTACAGCTACATTTATTCTTTTAATACTATTTGTTTTTCCTCTACTTTCTTGTTTTCAGCTTTGAACTTGCCTTCCAAAATCTTTAGCTACCATTCTGTTTCTTTAGCTCTTAGCTAGCCTTTTACTAGGGGTGCAACGATACAGARRATTCACGTTTCCGTTTGGTTCAAAACTTTAGTCTCACAGTTCGATATTTTTTCGATACAAAAGACAGAAATTTCCATGCCCTTTTTAACTTATATGAACATTTGTTTAACCTCAAAAGTACAGATTTTAAATTAAATGTTGCTGAAACAGCAAGTTTCTCAGTGATATGCGCTCAAAAATGCAGCCTAGGTGGAGTAGTCGAACACAGATCCACTGATCCTTCAACACAGAGCATCTTCAGAAGACATGTTGATAAAATTAATTTAAAAAATCTGTATTGTTTGATACAAGTGTGTATTGAACCTAAAGCACTGTATTGACCGTTCGATATGGGTACATGTATTGTTGCACCCCTTCATTTTACCACATTTAGCCTTTAGCTGCTGTACAGCTACTTTTAGTCTTTTGATACTATTTGTTTTTTCTCTACTTTCTTGCTTTTAGCTTTCAACATGCCTTTCAAAATCTTTAGCTACCATTCTGTTTCTTTAGCTTTTATCTAACATTTTGCCTCTTTAGCTTTAACAACTCATTTTTGGCTTCTTCAGCAACTTTCAGCATCGTTCAATCTGCATATTAACAGAGAAAGTAGATGTTTCGGTTTGTACTCACATCAAGGATTTCTTTATTTGCTTTAGGTGAGGTGTTCTCTCGCAACACCTTAATGGCCACAGGTATCGTCACATTTTCTCCTTCAGGCGCCCACACCCCCTACAACACGGAGAGTCTCCTTAAATCTGAACGTTTTCAAGCGAACAAGAAGCCACAGCTCTGCTTTTAGCTCACACACCTTGTAAACCGTTCCAAACGCCCCTGCGCCCAGCACCCTGTCTTTTTTCAGCTCCGTCTCTTTCAGGATCCGCATCTGAGCCTGATTGGGCGACGCGCCGCTCGGGGTTAAAGGCTCCACCAGCTTGACACGCGAAGGCAGGAAGAAGGCAGATTAGCTTCAGATTAAAACTGCGATGTTAACTGTCATCGCCCTCGGCTCTCACCTCATGCTCCTGCAGGTACCGCCTCATCGTCTCCTTCCTCTTTAGCTGTTTCTGCCTTCTCAGATAAAAGACCAGCAGAGCCAGCAGGATGAAGAACAGCACCACTCCACCCACTGCAGCGGCGATGGTTGTACCGGGTCTGAATGGGGCAGAAACAGCTTTCGTCGCTCATGTGTCTTACAATCAAAACGTAAATAAATCCCAGAAAACCGTGTTTTACGTCTGAACACTCACCCTGGCCTTGTGTCAACAGGGCAGCCTCTCTCATCCATGTCAGTGCAGCTTAAATAAATAAAAAAAGATTCAATATAAATGCATTTTAAGACAAATTTAATGTCTGTGAGACTCTGACTGTGCTCACTCACGGCAGAGTGCAGTTAGTGTTGCAGGGCAGACAGTGTCCCGTGGCGTTGCTGTATTTCCACAAYGTTTGACGATCTTTCTTCATGCCACTGGGACAGCGATCCACACAAAACTCTCCRTCCTGATTATGTTGACACTCCGTGCAATCATTTGCACCCTGAAAACAGGAGTAACCAAATTTCATGTCATGTTCGTTTATTTGAAAATACTTTTCAAACCACAAATCATTCTACGTGCTGTGCTCCTGTTCTTGTTTTGTTTAGTATTATTGTTTATAAAAGGTTATAAACTAGGGCTGAAACGATTCCTTGAATAATTCGAGTAATTCGATTGCAAAAAATCCTCGAGGCAAATTTATCTGCCTCGAAGCTTCGTAAAAAACACGTTATAATCAGCGCACTTTCGTCTGCCCGGAATGTTATTTGCGTTACACACAATGCTACGATGTTAGCGCTTTCGCTAACAGCTACACTGTCGACGCGTCACGTGCGTATGCTTGCCAAGCGCTATATTTAACTTTAGAAGAAGACGAAGAGTGCCGAAATGAAGCGCAGAAAAAAACGACTAATTATAAAAAGCATGGAAACATTTAAAACTAAAAAAGAAAAGACGACAACACGCGATGCACATCCTCGATGTTTCTGCACCGGAACCAAAACAGCGGCTACATGTACCGAACGAGTCTGGAGTTAACAGGTATCGTTCACATTCCCTTTGCAAAATACGGTTACCTAAATCTGTGATAATTTGTCACGTTACACATGTACAAGGAGGAGGTATGTTTAAGCTAATGTTATTTGTGCTGACTAATCATGGTGACCGGGCAGGGTTTTATTAAACAGTGTGTAAGTTGTGTGATTAAAAACAAGACTTACTGTAAGTTTGTCAGATAAAATAAAAGCACAGCAACAGGTTAACAGCTTGAGCTGAAACACGTTTATTTGTTGTTGAGCTTTTATCTTCATTTAAATGAGATATTTGGTGTGAATATTTCAAGTTTAAAAGTATTTATAGAAGATAGTTGGATTTGTTTTAATTATTTGCTGCTGCTTTTTATGACTTTAGCCTTCATTAGTACTGTCATATTTGTTTATAGCTAAGCAGTCAAGACTAATTCTTTTATTGCCTAAATGGGAGCCCTGCATCAACCTAATAACAGTCTTAAAATATTTTCTTTGTTAAAATTAACAAGTGAACTCTACAAAACTCAGTTGCAACACACAAATGTTTATATTACCCTTTTTACTTATTAAATTTCTAACAAAAAAATAAAATAAAATTTCAAATCCATTACAATAAATTTAAGCATTTAGATTTTTCAGTGATGGTTAAAAATGATTTAATGACAGTGCTTTTAATTAATGCCTCCTCAAACCTTACATACATAAATACAAACAAATGAAGTTTAAAATGCATTAATTAATACAACTGGTATTGTAATTTTACTTTGATTACAGCAGGGTCATCAGCAGGTGTATATTACCCCATCACAATATTGTWTTTCTCATAAAATAAGCTTAAATAATTACTGCAGAACATGACAATTTGTTATATCCGATTACTCAATGAATCGTCAGAGTAATCGATAGATTAATCGACTACTAAAATAATCGTTAGCTGCAGCCCTATTATAAACACACTTTTGCTGGGTTTGACTACAAAATNCTGGGTTTGACTACAAAATTCCCCACAGGTTTTAAGCTGAGCCTGTCTGAGTTGCCATGCTACTCCCGCTGCAGCARAGCTCCCAGARCTTGTTTTAATCCTTCACAATAAGTGTCCCAAACCCATGGACTCAGTGCAGAATTCTAAATACWTGATAAATTCATGGTGCAGTATTTGTTTTACTGAGGAACAATGATGCAAGCCGTTTTTTGCAAGCTTCAAATGTCTGTAGAGGATTGTGGAGGATAGTACTCTGCGTATGAGTTTGAGACTCTTAYWGTGAAGGACTGAAACAAGTTTTATGAGTTCTGCTGCAGTGGTAGTGATAAACCGCACCTCTGTCTGGTTCAACAAAAGAAAGAAACTTGCATGTGATCTCATAGTAAACTTAGAGAGCGCGCACCCATAACTTTAAAAAACAACAATAAATGGGACAAAGCAGAACAGTGGGGTTCGTTTCCTCCAGCTTAGTTTTGTAAAAAAACTATTTTCTCTCGGTAATATTATTACTTTAAACTTAATATTGCAACTTTAATGCTGAAACTATGAAATAAAACCAAAATCATAATAAAAAAAATCTTCAGTTTTTCTTCTAGTGGCCCTAATGCACAGTTGTAACACAACACTCGGGCTAATTTGATTTTAAGCCCCCTCCCAGTCAGATTTGTATCTGATACACCTGCATGTCTTACCGGGCCGTGGCAGGAGACAGAGCCGTTCAGAGGTCGACACTCTTTATGACAGGCGACGCACAATGATCCATTTTCGTACTCGCGTGTRGACCTGCAACACAACGAGAGTCTGAAATACTGAGTAACACGGAGTCTGACATCTGTCAGATACTTTCATCGACCATCACGAGGATGCCCAATGCAAATATCCTGCTGAMATTTTGATTTGGTACACATCAAATAAAAGACACAACACTAACAATCAGAAAAACTAATTAATGCGCAGTTTAATTATGCGACATATAAAAAGCCATGCAGCTCTAAAACAAAACTTATCGGTTTATCTGCTTGGTGGKTTAAAAATGACCAACAGATTTCGAAGGTATGACTTCTAGCATCCTTCGTGTAACCTACGGTGTCTCGCGAGGATCAGTCTGGGGCAACCCTTCCCATAATTTTCAACCCATACAATCAGTAAATATAGATCATATCAGAGTCAGTTTGTTCCACACGGCCAGAGGGGACACTTTAAAATAAAAGCTTTCATATTGATTTATTTGTGTTGTGACCAGTTTGACAGGACAAAATGAATCTATTGTGAGCCTTCCAGACTCAACATCTCATGTTTGTGCTTCACGTTCAGGTTTATTACCAACAGTTATCGCTGAAGGAAATCATCAGCTGGCTAATTTACTGATTTACTGCAAACACGCCTGCACAAWCAGACTTACCCCTGCTCAACGTTGCACAGCTCCACACACTCAGTGCCACGCTGGAAAAACTTGCAGGACATGCACTGGCTGGGCCCCGGACCCCAACAGCCCCCCTTACACAGGGCGTGACAAACATGGCCCTCACTCTCTAAAAAACACAGACAAAACAAACAAGCTCAGCCTTTTGATGCTTTTCCTCTTCAGGACCCTGCATTTTCATCAACTGCTTATAGTGAAAGTGCAACAAACTGCTGCTCCAGCTGCATTCTTCACGGCTAGATTTCAATTAAATATTTGCTTTACATCTTCAGCTTGCACACGGTTGCATCGACACACATCGTGTTCGTTCACCCACCACAGACTTGAGGGTCCTGGTTGCGGCTGACGATGAGATGGGGGCCCTGGGTGGGGTGGAATAGAGTTCTCCAGGCTGGTGGACTGCTGTAGCACAATTGTGTGTTGTTGTACAACAAGACCAAACTTCCACTGACGCTGCGCAGTGAGCGCAGCCCAAGAGACTGGATGTGTAGATTCTGGATGGCGAGTGAAAACACCCCCCTAAGACACATAAAGGGAGGCCACATGTAAGCAGTATTTAATTGCAGTTTTTATATTTCGCAAATGTCCAGAAACAAAACGAAGCTTTAAAAGGGGCAATATTATGTGTTTCTCAGGCATACATTTAAATACTATACCATTATAAAGTATCTGTCACCTCATTTTTCCCAAGTGCCATCGACTCTTAAACAGCTGAACGTGACATTCTTCTGACTATTATTATTGCACATGTGCACATTTCAGACTGTTATGTTATCTGTTGCACATTACACTTTAAAAACAGACTGTAAGTTCCCTTCTTGTTGTCATTATTATATTGTTCTCTTCTGACGTTATTATCCTTAGTTTAGTCTCTTTTTTTATTTAATCAACATTGTGTCCTTTCAGTGATGATTTGTTTCTTTTTTAATACGGTTATCTCTCGGCATTCAAAAATGGACAACAAAGTAAGAATTTCATTGCTCAGGGAAACATGTTTTTCATCTGTGCATATGACAATACACACTTTGAATCTTTGAATCTTTAGTTGTTATTAAACTCTGTTTTTATGTTTAAATAGAAAATAAACTTATCTTCTCATCAATTCCTCTTCTAAACGCCTTAAAATTGGCCTC